TCTGAAAGCTTCCAAGTTTTAACTAGGACTTACTCTTGCTGGCTGGAACAGTTTTTCAGAAGGTACATTTACTTGCTAAATAATCAATCCAGCTAGCTCATATTCCAGGAACTCACTCTGTGAAGTCTCCAAATTTCGTAAACCTTTCAGAACAGGCCATCACTCAGGACACAAGCTAGAGTGGAGACAAGACCTCCAGTCTCTTCTCAGCCAAGGCTCGCAAGTCCCCTCTGAACTGGGAATGTCAGATCTTCTTCCACAAAAGCCTCCAAGTTTCTTGTAAACTGGCAGTGAGACCAGGACAAAAGAAGAGATGAAACCAGTGCTTCATCGAACTGCAAGTAACAGTGAACTGAAGGAAGTCATCAAAAGAAACGATAAATACTTCAAAGAAGAACAGGAGAAAAGACTTTCTGGAGACAGACTTCACTGAGTGATACTGAAATTATACTCTTATTATAGCACCAACACACAGGTCAGGAAAGGATAGCGCATACCTGAGACTACCCAGCAAGCCAGCAGGTAAGCTCTGTCTCTATTTTCCTGTGTTACCAACTTTCACAGACTGCAGAGTTAGAGGGGCCTTAGAGAATCATCTTCCAATTTCCTCATGAGAAAACTGAGGCCAGCGCACAGTAAATGACTTGTTCTCGGTTAGACAACCAGCTAAAATCAGCGCAGAGACTAGAAAGAACTGAGTCTGGCTCGGTCTGCCTGGTGTACATGGGCCCTTTCCCTACTCAGAGAAGGGAACGCAGAGTGGAATCCTGGAAATTCTGCCATACCCTGGCCTTCAGGCTATCATGTCTGTGCTAGTCATTTCTTCAGAAAAGGTTTTCAAGTACTATTATGATTTGAATATGAAAATCACTTGTGCTCTTTAGTGGAGAAATACAGTAATCAACACATTTTTAGGAAGACAAAACACAAAACACAAAGACAAAACACAAATGCTCATTAAATGACCACATATACCTCTCATATTTTCATTAGGAATTAAAAAGAAAGTAAGCAGGTAAGAAAGTGGAAGAGAATCAGGATGTTTCGAAACTACCAAGACCTAGCTTTAACTGGAAGATAAATACAACAAGTAACAGCATATTGCACACGGAAGGAAGCCTGCAGCAAAATGAGAACCATTACAGATGCACCTAATTACTAAAAAGTTTCCGGAACATCTACTACTTGGGCCACCAAACTGCACTCCCTTCTAATAGTGGAGTCTAATATATAGATTTCTCTAAAACCAATGTTCTTACTAAATGAATGAAATGTAATGGGTATTTTTTTTTTCTTTATACTTAAAAGATGAATCAGGTTAAACAGATTATCATAGAAGTCAGAATCCAGTTTTTTAAAAAAAGAACACACACACACACACCATCCAAAGAGTCTGGGTTTAGACACAGAAAACCATTATAAAACATGAAATGTGGCTGTATTAGCAAGAGATATTTACATACTCTAAATTCATTGATTTTCTCTTCTCCTACTTTAAGTACTTAAGAGCCTACAATGAAAAAGAAAAAATAAAAAACATTAGGCAGACACCAACCGCTGCTTGATAATTTCTCATTTAATCATTACAACTGATAGGCTGAGTATTATTTGCCTCAATTTAAAGACGAGAAAATGGGAACTGAGAGGGTAACTCAATCAAGGTCGCGGAGCAACTAAGTAGACAAGTTGGAATTGAATGAATTCGGGGTCTTTTCACTACACCTACACTTCTCAAAGTGCAGTCTATAAACGTTTGAGGGTGCCCAAGTCTCTTCTAGGAGGTCTAGAGAGTCAAAACGATGTTCATAAAACTACTGAGACTCCATTTGCCCTTTTTCCACATTGACATTTGCGCTGATGATGTAGAAGCAGTCAAGGGTGCAGCTGCTGGTGCCTGAACATGAACCAAGGCCGTGGCACTAAGTTTCACTAACAGTCACTGCTGGTTCACGTGCGATATAGACACTGTCAGTTTCACCTAAGGATGTCCTTGAAGCAGTAAAAATTACTAATTGTATGGAATCTCAGCCCTTGATTACGTATCTCTTTAATAATCCGTGTGACGAAATGGGACGTAAGCATAAAGCGCTCCTGCTGCATCCTGCAGCACCATTTCAAAGCAACCCTGTTGCTGAAGAAAAAGTACTTAGGCAGCTATCTGAGTTGAGAACTACACTAGCCACATTGCGTGTTTGTTTTTAGACAGAAGATCATTTTAATATGTAAGAATGACTGGTAAGTGAAGGCTATTCAGACTTGAGCATCTGGTAGATATTTTCTCAAAAATGGTAATAGCGAGTCTATCATTTCAAGGAAAACTACTTGTTGCCAATGATAAAATTCAAGATCTTAAGACAAACTTTGAATTTTGGGAAATTTGCACCTACTACCATGACCCTCTCATGAGTAGATCAGTTATTCTATTGACAAATCTGATTTTTTTAATATTATATAAAAAAATGTGTCAATGTCTGATAATTTGGTAAACTAGTATTTTCTAATTGACCAATACAGGATGTTACAAAATCATGCAT